GATAAATCGATCGGTTCAATTGAAGAGGCTCTGAAAGAAACCTTTGTATATTTATAATGTATGTATTTATTACTTTTGTGTATACACACATATACACACACACATTTATATTTATACTAATAATACGTTCATCATTAAAGTAATAATTATTGTATAAAATTTTCAAAACATATGAATTTTAATTTAATGATTCCATGTTAAAAAAGCGTCTCTATAATAAAGCCATATAAAAAAATTATTCATATATATATATATATATATATAATGATCACATTTAAAATTAATTTTATTTCCAACCAATATTATTAATTTCATTTGAATAAAACTAATATTTTCGTATGTACTACGCGTATTTTAATATTTTTAAAACTACATAATCCCGTGATCACGGACAGACGATCTTATCTCATTCTTCTTTTTCTACCTGGCAATTTCCCAGCTATAGCCAGGGTCTGCCTTACATTTTGTGAATAGTTTTGGCTACTTGTTTTTACGACCGGCCGCCTGCCTGACATCAACCCTCTTTTGAGAATCAACATTAATCAGTGATGTCTAAATACTCTTAGAAAGTACATATGATTCTGAAAAATCACATTGGTACTTGCCCAGGCCAGGATCGAACCCGCATCCTCGGCAACGAGAGGCGGGCCCTTTAACCACTAGGCCACCACTGATCTTATCTCATTATCATCACTTACTTTAATGTCAACGTCAAGTATATAGAATTTCTTTCTATTAGGAAATTTCAACAATAAAACAATGTTATATAAAATCATTTTTCATTCATATACTTTAAATACATGTAATATTAATATTACAATATAATTTGTATTGTTTTCGTAATTATATAATATACTTTCATTCATTAATTGGATAAAAACTTTATTTTTGAAGAAGGGTTATTAATAGAAGTATAGAAAATCTTAGTTTTGAGATCGAATTAAAAAGAATTAGTGCTACCACCTAGTTAAATTTAACTATACATAGCATTTTAAGTGGATAGTCAGTCAATACGGAAAATTTAAAGTATCTTATATATTTGCAAAAGTTTAATATAAGACAGGAGACTCATTGAGTTTCTTTGTTTTAATTTTTAACAACCGACTTTAAGAAAAGAGGTATAATGAGTTTGATCTCGATGTTTGTATGTTTCATCTTAGCTCTTAAACGGATGGACCGTTATTGATAAAATTGTTTCACTTGAAAGTCAGTTTTCTTATTGTGGTTCTTTGCGATGTTTGATTAATATTGGCCCAGCAGAGTTATAGTATGACATATTTTCCAAAATGATGTAAAGCATTTTTGTCATACACTTGACTAAGCGCTTCAAGAGTGCCAGAATAATGTTAAAATGATAAATAATTAATATATGCCTATTTAAATTAAATAAAAAAGGATAACATTCCTAGGCTTGTCCAGAACTAACATTAATACATTCTTGGAACGTACTTCGAATGCAGCGCTAGTAGGTTCTTTTCAAATTTGGTAGAGAGCGGAGCTTGGACAGTGGAGGTGAGCGTATAACGCGTTAGATAGGGTCCCTTAAACCTACACCTGGGTCACAAGTCCCAGTCACTGTTGAAGCTCCTCTCACTACAACGATGGACCCGACACACGCATCGTGAATACATTGAATGATGAGAGGTTTCCTCTCTTTACTTATCTTTATTTTATTCTATTATATCTTTTTCCTTTTCTTTCATTTTTTTTCAACAATATGGTTTAATTCTGAAATATTTCTACACTTTCCTGATTAGATTGTTTTATCTTATCTTATCTTTACTGGATGGTGTAAAATAAAATGTAATTTGCAAACATGACTATTGTTTGTTAAATAGAAAAATGTAGCGAACATATTTAGTATAAATTCGTAATTTAAGTAATATTAGAACTAAAATAATATATATATGTACTTTTTAAGATTGATATATGTATATCATAATTTAATTTTTTATGTATATCTTATTATATTATATGTATATGTGTATTCTTTAAAACTTTAATATTTAAAATGCTTTAAATGATTTACGTAATAAAATCCGTATTTTAAATCAAAATTTATTATATTATTCAGTTAATTATTAATGTATTTCGAAGTGATCTTGTATATAATATATTTCAACATAATTACCGCTGACTATATTATGTTAGAAAACAGAAAATAAAGCTGTAGACACCTCTATGAATTTGATACATTATAATAATATATAAATTAAATAATTATAATAATAATTGCAAATTTATATTGATGATTCAATAGAAAGGTTCAAAGAAAAAGAATATATAGCCCATACTAACTCTAATATGAATATTCCCACTTAATATTACTACGCTGAACTAAAGATTTTATGAATTAAAATTAATTATACGAATTAATTAAAGAGATATTTTAAACCATATAAAGAATATTCATAATTAAAAGGAAATATTTTTAATCTTATATATAAAATTCTCGTGACGCGGTGTCAGACAGAAAACTCCTCCGAAACGGATGGACCGATTTTGATGAAATTTTGTGAGCATATTGAATAGGTCTGAGAATCGGCTAACATCTATTTTTCATACCCCTAAGTCATAACGGTTGATATTTTTTTATATGGCAAAACGTTTGCCGTGTCAGCTAGTATATTATAGTTGTATTTTAGTGTCAATATCACTGTATAAATGTTTCAGTTACAAGATAAACCTGTCTCAGTGTGACTTGTTAACCCAATTGTTTGTTCCGCTTCTGAAAATCCATTTGAATAACAAATCATTTATGCATGCATGACATTATGTATATCATGTTTTGAATACAAAATATCTTAAATCTATGTATATGTACTAATTATTTAAAAAAGTCGATCGAAAGGTTCGATCCTGGCAAGTACCAATGTGATTTTTCCGAGTCATATGTACTTTCTGAAAGTATTTAGACACCACTGACATACGGTGAAGGAAAACATCGTAGGGAAACCTGGATTTATAATATCAATTTATAAGTTTGAAATCACCAACCTGTCTTGAGCAAGCGTGGTGATTAATGCTCAAATCTTCTCCATGTGAGAAGAGGCCTTTGCTCAGCAGTGGGCTCTGATAGGATGATGATGAATACAATTATATATTAAAATGAATATTTCAAAGCTCATAACAGAAAACGGGCAACATTCAATCGTATTTTTATGGCTTTTATTGGGAATTATTCCATAAAAAGATGTTACTTTTTGGAACATATCATAAAATTTTATTAATATGATTGCAGATACATAACTTATATTACAAGTAAATAAAAAATATATAATACAAATGTATTTCTTATAATTATACCTTTCAAGTATATAGCTTTGAAATAAGTTCTTTTATTTGATAAAACTTCGCATCAATACTTGGCATTCAACCAAATGTATTAAATATAACAAGGAAATATCCTGACTTGGTGATCAAATAAAACGCGAGAACTTAGGCCATTTACACTATCGTAAATTTTTAGGATATCGTTAAAGAATAAATTATGGAATCAAGAATCTCGTTTCTTATACTAGCTTTCCGCCCGCAGCTTCGCCCGCGTGGAGTTCGGTTATATCGCGTTTCCAAGAGAACCTTTCAAAAGTCTGGGATAAAAACTATCCTATGTTCTTTCTCAAGGTCAACTCTATCTCTGTACCAAATTTCATTTAAATCAGTTCAGTGATTTAGGCGTGAAAGCGTAACATACAGACTGACAAAGTTACTTTCCCATTTATAATATTAGTAAAGATGTATATAACTTTATATATAAAATAATGTCGTGTTAGGTACACTATTTATTACAAGAACGGCTGTATGGGTTTGGCTGAATAGCTTGGCGAGATAGCTTAGAACGAGGAAAAGGACGTAGGATATTATTCATCCGATTAAAAACAAAAAAATATATATCAAATAATTGATCAAATCCATAATCTTCTTAGGTACTGTCTTTAATGAGAAATATAATTCTAATTCTGAAACTAACGCAGACAAAGTGGCGGACAACTATTAGTAATAGTGTAAACTAACTACATATATGTGTATACCTAATCTGTAGGGTGTTCACACGATGCGTAATTAATTACATAACTTTTAGTTAACTTTACTTAGAAGTTTATTAATATTTGTGTTATATTAATTTTTATTTTGTCATATATGATCGTCAAATATCACGTCCTCAAGTATTGATAGTAATTCACCAGTCACCCTGTATATGTAATGAAATGACATTTCATTAAATTCAAATTTGCCGCGCTTCGCTCGTTTGTAACTTGTCGCCCAGAGACGCGTCACTATTCACTAATGGCGGATTATGTTTAAGTTTTTGTGCACTTTATGATTATTAAAACGTGTAGAGAGATAAAGTAAAGGATATAATTAAGGTGATATTAGTGGACTTTAAAAGAAAGTGTATTTTCAGGGAAACAAATTGTGGTTTGCTTTGAATGTATTTAATATTCCTTATATATATGTATATATATATATATTGATTGATCAACTTTAAGTAACTTTTAACCGTGTAGAAAATTTATTTTGCAACTATATATTTACCTTGTTTCTGTCCTACAACTCTTAATATGTATATATCGTGCGATACAATTTGCAATCAAATGTGAATTAGATTATATACAGCTGAAATTATTACAAAAACAACTGAAGGGGTTTTATAAACTTTTGGTTAATTACAAAAATATAATAATTAAGAATTGAGATGATAATTTAATTGGTATTTTCGATTTGATGACAATAAGTATTTCATAAGAAAACATAATTTTTTTTACGTTGAATCCTATAATTTAAGTTGTATACTATTTTTAATTCATTCTTCTTCTTGGCAATTTCCCAGTTTTAGCCAGGGTCTGCCTACTTTTTTTTAATTAATTATTGTTCAAAATTCTCTAAGTCATCTTCGTATTTTACATCGTAAATCTGCCCATATATTAGCCGACGGTTTTTTTTGTTTTCTATCTTTCCCATTTACAAGCTACAATATCAAGCTATAAATTTCTTTATAGAAACAAGCGATGCTAGTCAGACAGCTGGAAGAAGAACTCCGTTTGCGCATGCGCCAGCCCGCTCCAGAACTACAACAACAATTGGAGGCGCTATTCTCAGAAAACGAACACTTGCAGAGAGAGATTGCCATTTTGAGAGATACTATAAAGGTAATTCAAATACTAGAGTTCTTCTTTTCTTCCTGGCAATTTCCCAGCTTTAGCCAGGATCTGCCATATTAAATAGAGCTATAAACTCAAAAACAAAGTTACGATACACATAAAGAATTATCAGTTAATAGATTTTTAATAAATTAAAGTCAAATTTTCCTTTGTGACCTGATAAAGTTTCAAATAATATGTTTCTATTGTTATTATAAAAAATCAGAATAATAGACGTGATAGTGTATTGTAAAGGAATTATGAATCATTATGAATCGTCATTTATAAATAAATAAACATATTGAGTGTGTATAAAAAGTGCGAATGCTTGATCAATAAAAACTATTGTAGTTACTATCTACTTTTATACCTTTGCTACAATAATATGTTGCTTAACTTTTGAAACAGAAAATCGCAGGTAAATTAAATATATTTTTTATAATTTAGTATTATTTCTCCATTAGGAATTGGAACTTCGGATTGAAACTCAAAAGCAAACTTTACAAGCAAGAGATGAAAGCATCAAGAAGCTATTGGAAATGCTGCAAAATAAAGGCATGGGTATGTGTCGACCATAATTAGCGTTGTTTAATACCACGAGTGAATTGCAATGCAATTACATACTAGTGAGGTTAAAAATGACATATAAATTGCAATGCAATTCGCTAAATAGACAAACAAAAGTCATCAATGGAATAGGGAATTCCAAAGAGGTTTCGTAATTGGAACTATTTCCAGGTAAAGAAGAGGAAAGACAAATGTTCCAGCAAATGCAAGCGATGGCACAAAAACAGGTGATTATCATAGTGAATGTATGCATGCATAGCATTAAACATGAAAAAGATATATATATTTAAATGAATAATAATATATATATGTATATGTATAAAATATCCTGCACTGTGTATGTCTTGCACGACACCGCTTCATCATGATATATTAACTGTAACACATGGGCGTTTTATTTTGTGATACTTTTATCATGATCACTGTTTCTTAGATTGCTCTGTCTCTTGATAGTATCATTTCCATTCTGTATCCGGCCGAATGTGGTCGTCGCGTCGCTTGTGTGAAAGATAAAGATCCTTGCCATCAACTTCATCCAAACGACCGGCCATCGCTTCACGTTCATTGTGCTTTATCCCAGCACCAAAAAAATCATATAATAAAAAAAAAAGACCAAAAAAAAAAGAATTCCGTCGACTCATTGCATGTTTAGCTCATATCCCCACGTTAGCGAGTGTCGAGACGAGCTATATTATGCTCGGAGCAGTGCGTGAAGGATAGCTATGGCAGGAGCTCAAGGCGACGGCTGACACGCTGCGGGCGCTTCAGCTACAGCTGGAGAGGGCGCTGGCCGCGGCGGGGCTGCCAGGGGGCTCCGCTGGCGCCACGCTGACCGCCGTGCTGGAGACCAAGGACGCGCGCATCGCCACCCTCGAGAGACAGCTCGCCCTGCTAGAGGCCGAACTACCCTCCGTATACGATAAACACGAACCGAAGAGACAAGTAAGTTTTCTGCTGAACGACGTGAGAATAACCAAGGACGGCAGGCGGCTGCCGCAAAGAAACACCATCCTGTCGATATAGTATAGTTATATGATGTATATTATGTTAATGTTGTTTGTAACGATATGTTAACGGTTTTGTTGATTTTTGAGGTGGTATGCGCTTGGAGAGTATTCGGGTGCGTGTTTCTTTTTGTTTTGTTTCTTTGAATATATTTTCCGTGTGTTCATCGCTTTCGATGTCCAACCGCTTGTCCCGCTCACCTCCGGCATCCATTAGCCATCATCTGAGGTCACTCAGCGGTAGATAAATGTATCACAACGTAGGCGCCCGTACATCGCCGGCATTCTATTAGATACGATCTGGAAAAATTTTCTATACTATCTTTGTTTGTAATGGAAAGTTTTTCAGACGTCAGACTTAAAATCTTCTATACTTCATATAATACAATTAAATGTAAGGAATATTGATTTTGTTTTGTTTGATTCTGAGTGTAAGCGTGGTTTGCATGTATCGATAACATGATGTGTCCACTAAACTCATGATTAGTTGCTGACGACATCCAGTAAGCTTCGTCGCTTCACCATCGTTATGGGACGTTATGTAGTATATAAGATACATTGTCATAGCCATCACTTGCCTATGTAGATAGTTTTATATATATAATGTAAAGGATTGATTAATTGTGGAATGGCTGGGTGATTAGTTGGATGAGTTCCGACTGGAGATTCAGCGAAGGGATCAAGAAATACTGGCCATGGCTGCTAAAATGAAGGCTCTGGAGGAACAGCACCAAGATTACCAGAGACATATAGCAGTTCTCAAAGAATCGCTGTGTGCTAAGGAAGAGCACTATAGCATGCTTCAAACCGATGTAAGTTATAAGGTACAAATAAACGATGTCATATTTATTACATGCTAACGAAAAACAACACCAGTATATTTATTTTGGAATTAATTTCATTTTTTGAGCACCCTGTGTTTTTAATATACCATATAAATGGTGTTCAGAATTTTTTTTATCATGATTTTTTATATCACAGTTTTTTATGTTAATTATTAGTAGCACATAACATTTATATAGTTATTTGTTGTAATTCAATATTTTGAATAAAGGCAGCAAGCGTTACACGGGAATAAAAGGTATATGAAAATGTTCACAGAATTTTATTCCGACAAACTAAAAAAATCAGTTTACGAATATAGGTTACTTAGGTTGTTTCAATAAAATTGAGAAAAAAATATAGAGAGGTTAATACAATAGTATTTTTGTATCAAAACTTATAATTGAACAAAATTTTTGCTGTATTTCTTACAGTTATTCAAAGATATACACAATTTAATAAATAATTATGATAAACTTTCGCACAATATTAAATAAATTTTCCAAAAATTCCCTTTAGCTTGAGCTAGCACAATAACTTTTTTATTTATCAATAATAGTAAATAAAAAACTAAAAAATTTACATAGAATTCCCGAATCTGTATAGGTGGAAGAATTGAAGGCTCGTCTTGATGAAAAGAGTCGAATGGTTGAGAAAAAAACTGCTGCGGCGCTAGCAGCGGCTCACGAACTAGCTGAACTGAGAGATCACTCGGAGATTAAAGATAGGAAGATTAACGTGCTGCAGAGAAAGGTGAGATGTAGATAGATATAGATAGAACTAGATAGATAGATAGATAGAATCCTATATGAGATAACAAAGTAATGTTCGTTAAACGGAAATACTTTTAATTAAATCGAATATACATTCATGATATCAAGTATATGATTATATTATATTAATTATATGAATTAAAAATCAAAACAATTTGATTGGTATACTAAATGAAATATAACTTGTTAAGTAGTTAAAAATTATAGAGGTAGTTTTCATCAAAAGAAACTTATAATTAAAATATTAATTAAATGCAATTATTATATTGTAATTCGTAAATTAAGATGTCAAATATTTTTCTTTATAAAATAGATATTAAGTTTGAAGCTTTGTTATTTTGTTATTTATTATTATAATTATTATATAATACTTATTTATATGGTACATTGTTTTTTCGTTTATATATTTCTTAGACTTGAATATAATTCCGCCTTTAAGTTATGTTTATAGCAGCTATTTATTTGACGCCTGTAAGCTCGATTGATGACCAGTTGTTAAGAAATTCCTGTTTTTTATAGCGGATAATATATTTTTATATTTTATGTGTTTATTTTGTGTTTTATATAATAAATATGTTTTCGTGCTAGTTGGTATTTAGTTTTTTTATATTTTTTTTATTGTGTAGTGCTATTTATTTGAGAAGGTATGTTATTTTATTTATTTTCTTTTTGCTTATTATTTATATTAATTTATGTTTTCTATATATGTTTTATATTTATTAGTACTTTATTGTATCATAAATTAAATTTTATAGATTGAAAATCTGGAAGATTTACTCAAAGAAAAGGATAATCAAGTTGACATGGCTAGGGCGAGGTTAAACGCTATGCAAGCACATCATTGCTCATCTGAAGGAGCTCTTTCATCCCTCGAAGAAGTTATTGGAGATAAAGAGAAACAAATACAACAACTTAGAGAACAGAGAGATAGAGCTGAACACGAGAAGAACGAGGAGAGAGAGTTACACGAAAGAGAGATAGCTGACTATAAAATGAAGTTACACGCGCTGGAAAGTGAAGTGGAAAAACTTGGCGCTAGATTAGAAAGAGCTCAAGCGGAGAAAGATAGGCTCGAAGCTAAGCTAGAAAGCTCTCAATCAGAACTCGGCAAATCAAAAGCTGAGTTAGACAAAGCTGCTAGCGAAGTAGGCAGATCGGGCGCTGATTGGGAAGCAGCTAAGCAAAGATTAGCTAGACTCGAGCTGGAAAACGAACGGCTTAAACACGAGCTGGAACGATCACAGACCACATTCGGCAGAAGTACGCTAACTACCTCCCAAGAACTAGATAGAGTACAGGAAAAAGCTGATAAATCAGCGGCTGAGCTAAGAAGAACTCAAGCAGAATTACGAGTGACCCAAGCTGATGCAGAAAGAAGTAGAGTAGAAGCTAGCGCTCTACAAGACAAGCTGGAAAAATCACAAGGAGAAGTGTACAGATTGAAAGCTAAGCTGGAAAATGCACAAACGGAACAGGACAGCCTCAAAGAAGAATACGATCGGTAAATATTATATTACATAACTTTAACTAACACTTTATTATCAACTAGCTTTCCGCCAGCAGCTTAGCCCGCGTGAAGTTCGGTTATATCCCGTTTCCAAGAGAACCTTTCGAAAGTCTGGGATAAAAACTATCCATGTTCTTTCTCAAGGTCAACTCTATGTCTGTACCAAATTTCATTAAAATCAGTTCAGTGGTATGGGTGTGAAAGCGTAACAGATAGACAGAGTTACTTTCGCATTTATAATATTAGTAGAGATAACCAGATACAAATTCGTTACGTCTTACCACTTTCAAAGATTAAATTGCAAAACAATTTCAATTAAAATAATGTTACTTTAAGAAAATTTCGCCCAGCTATCTCTGTGATTAAACTTCTCAACTTCGCCGAATCGCTATGATGGCCATCTGTTAGTAATTCTGAGAAATTTAACTGATTTAAGAGGAAATTAAAATATTTTCATCAGGGACTAGGAATTAGCATAAAATGTTATTACTCCTATATAATAATGTAAATCGGTTATATACTTTTTGCCTATATAAAAAAATATGAGAAATTAATAGATTATTAAGGAAACTTAACAAATATAATAAATAATTCAGAATATTTAAGATTTTCAACAAACCTATAACTATTTCATCATTCTCACAGCGTACAATCCTCAATAAGTCGTCTCCACTCAGAACGAGATAAAGCTATAGCTGAACTAGACAAAGCCAGAGAAGAATTAGAGAGAACTCAAGCTACTCTAGGAAAAGCACAGCTTCAACAGGACAAGCTGCAAGCTTCATTAGACTCCGCCCACTCTGAGATAGACAAGCTGCAGGAAAAACTTGATAAATCAGCCGTTGAAGTTAGAAAGGTATGAATCTTTGCTATATATATTACCTAAAGCAATTTTTCTGACAAATGATACGATATATAAACAAAAAAAAAATTACATTCCTTTTTTGGGACATTTTTTGTCATTTAATCCTATTATTATATAATAATTTTAAGTGTTAGATAAAATAATATTCAAGACTTTAACAGAAGTTACTTTAAAATCAAATACACTTAGAAATACCACAAACACTGAAAATGTTTACTTACCTGTAATAAATTTCTAATTTAATGATCCTATTATATTTCTATCAAAAGGGTTTCTGATAGATATCTCTTTTAAGAGATAAGTTATCTTTTCACATTTCTTTTATAATAATGTAACTACTACTGTTGGTATATAAATAAATAATTAATTCCCTAGCTTCAAGTCGATCGTGAGAAGTCAGCCTATGACTTCGAGTCGCTTCAGTCACAGCTTGACAAAGCGCTTGGACAAGCTGCTAGACTACAGAAGGAGAGGGATACAGCTCAACTAGACGCGGACCGGTTCAGGGATAAGCACGAAAAAGCACAGGTAACAGCTTGAAACTTACAGGTGTAGCATAAGAATTTAGAAGTTCAATGACCTCAGCTATAAAATAACTAGAATATTATAACCGAAGATTTTTATTATAAACAAAGCAAATAATTATACTAATCCTATCAAATATTAATATAGCTGCTGGAAATTTGCAGGTGTATTTTAGAATTTGCTATGAGTTGAATGACCTCAATTATAAAAAGATAATTAGAATATTACAGCCAAAGAATGGATGTATTTTTTTATTCTAATAAATAAATAATTATTTTAATATTATCCTATATAAAAAATGCGAAAGGTTTTTCTATGTATGGACATTTGTAGCTCTTTCAACCAAAAGTAACGTAATAGATATTGGTAATGTAGCCTTGACATAGAAATTGGATATGGGATCGAAATATACATAATATCGATTCACGAGGAAATAGAAGTTATAGACGAAAACTGGTTTAAAACTATAGTAATTTATTTTTTATTATAAATGGATCTCACAATGTTCCAATAAGATTGATCGATTCTTAATAGTAAATGTACAAACAGGTATTAAATAAGCTTAATGGAAATAAAAAATTAAGTTCCCCATTAAGTTTTCCCTAAAACCAATATCAACTAGGTGATAGCAATAAAACCTAGCGTATACTGAAATCGAATAAAAAAACGTGAAAAAATCGTCCTATTTTCAACATTTATCTAGACATGTATGTAAATTCTAAATTTTATTGGAAAATATTGAGATTTAGCGTAGTTTCAGTACTTATATTATTAAGAGGTCACATTATTCAGAAGAAAATTTTTACCTCGATTTTATGTTTTTAATATCAAAATATGTATAATAGATATAAAAAAAGTATTATTTAGCCCTCAATTATCTTCAAATAAATGTACATATATGGAACGGTTTTAAATATTTAGTCAAAAAATAATACAAATATACTGTTTCATACAAATTGAATTTAAATTGTCGCTAGTAAATTTCATAAATACTTATATTGTATTGATTGAATGTATATGAAATTTATTCCAAAATAAGTCTAAAGAAATCTGAATAAATAATACCTAAAAACAAATTCAACCATAAAGATTCATACATCATAAACTCCTTGAAAGCCTTACGTAATCCAAACATGATAGATCTTCACGTATCTTGGCAACACGACGTAATAAAATAATAACTAACCTTATTCTAGACTCTCGGTCTAGACTGAACGACGCCATCTTGAAATGGATTTCATAATTACGAGTATTCGGGTTAATTCATCTAAAATATTACCATCATAGATATGAATAAAATAGTTTTCGATCGAAAATTTTTAATAAATTTAATGTATTACTAAAGTTTGTCCTATGTGGTATAAAACATGGCTTTATATGATAAATTCGATGGCCTCGATGATAATAATATATTTGTGTCAAACACAAATATTACAAAGCAAGTGAAGTACATTTATTTGTCACTTTGTATGAAATTTATGTATACAAGAAACATGGAATTATACAAAAACACGTCATTGTGCGTGTGTTTGATTGTACAATATAAAAACTAGATTTTATATTTACAAGTGCTCTATAAAATATAATGTTTATTTTTAAGTGACCCTTCCACTTTAGTCCTCATATTTTAAACTAGCTTTCCGCCCGCAGCTTTGTTCGCGTGGAGTTCAGTTATATCGCGTTCCAAGAGAACCTTTCAAATGTCTGGGATAAAAACTATCCTATGTTCTTTCTCAAGGTCAACTCTATCTGTGTACCAAATTTCATAAAAATCAGTTAAGTGGTTTAGGCGTGAAAGCGTAACAGACAGACAGAGTTACTTTCGCATTTATAATATTAGTAGGCATTAGGCAGGCATAACTAGCAAAAATTATGACTAATTTATATCCATCGTTATATATAATTGGTTTTCATAGACTGTATAAGTATTTCGTTTTATTTTCTATGTCCAAATTGTTTGCGACATGTATTTTATTGGCACAAAGCCAATATTGATTGTATATCTGTGTGCCGTAACTATAACGCGCTTGGCACAACCATTGGCGTACGTATTTACAACCTATGATATTGAAAAACGCACGATAACACGAAAAAGTTAAGGCGTATTCAAATTAAATATATTAGGAGTTAAATACTAATAAAATATTTTATTAATAATAAGAATTGGGAATATCAGTGATTAAAATTACTCTATGTTTATCTTAGATCACAATTTTATTCACCTTTTACGTAATGCTCTTTTAGTACTCACAACTCTATAATAACCTTGAATAGAAACATGAGATTGAGGTGTTAAATATTAAAAAAATAATAATAACTAAGTATATCAAAAAAACATTGTTTAAATGTGTAGAGAGCATAATGAGATCTAAAACTTTCGCAAATTTTCATTTAAACGAAACTAATGTTTTCGGATTACTATGCGCATTTTATTATTTTAGTATACATACTTTCGACGTTTAGGTTACTTTTGCAGCAATCGTGATCACGGGCAGAAGAGATCAGAATGATTACAGTTGCTGCAAAGTAACCGAAAAGTCGGGAATATGTAGATTGAAATAATAATAAGCAAATAGTAATCATAACCCTTAAGTTAAGTTAAGTTTTAGCCTGTGTGTAACAAATATTACAACAGCATAATTCTTTCAGGCTCTGGTAGCTAGAGTGCAAAAAGAACGAGACGCAGCACTATCAGAGGCAGCGTCTTGTAGAGAAAGGGCGGAGGCAGCGGCAGCAGCAGCAAACAGAGCAGCAAGAGACAGAGACAGCGCAGCAACAGAACTAGACGTACTGAGAGAGAGATGGGAGAAGGCTCACCAACAACACCAGAAATTAACGGTAGGATATCTTTATATATATATAATTCTTCTGTGAGTGTGTATGTCACTGAACTTCTCTCAAACGACCGCACCGATTTTGATGAAATTTTCTGTGTGTGTTCAAGGGGATCTGGGAATGGTTTAGATTCACAATTTTGTCCGCTGGACAGTGTTTTTTTAATTAATTTTTAGTTTATTAGTAGTTGTTGATACAAACGTTTCTTTTTGACATTAGATTTGACAACTAACTAATATGTCAATCATTCTGTCGCACTTCAGAACACGGAGATTTATGGCTTTAATAGGTAAACTCCAAAAATAAATAAAAAAACGTAACAGATATTTCTTGATTATAAGGCGATACGAAGTTCGCCGGGCCTTCTAGTACACACTATAGGGACTAAAGCCATGTGTACACTGATAATAACATATGAGAATTATAATTAGGGCTTTTTTTATGAAAACAAAGAGTTAGGGGTAATTTTTAATGAAAATTAGTATTGTTGTAAGTTAATTAAGCTTACAATTAGATGATTTTAACAATATTTGGGCTTTATATTGACTTTGTAATGACTGAAGTTTTGTAACCCTAAAAAACTAATTATCTATCATCTATGCCTTATTTTTTCCACCATTGTTTGTAGTCTATTCATTGAATGAAAATAATTTTATTTTCACGATAATAATTATTACAGATGGAGAGAGACGACGCTCTAACTGAATTAGAAATAATGAAAGAAAAGTTGGACAAGGCTTTGTATTCAACACAAAAGACCATCGAAGAAAAGGAAACAGCGCACAAAGAATACGAGAAAATGCTCGAGAAATATGATAGGTACTTACATACTTAGTGGAGAACTTTGATATAAAAAATGTAAACTATTTATTACTTATTCATTATTGTGTTTTCAGATCACAAAACGAAATCTACCGACTTCAGAACAAGATAGACATCCTAGAAGCAGACAAAGACAGAATTGAATTGGAATACGAGAAGAATATGCATCTAGCTACAAAGTCACGTGAAGATCTCAGAAAACTGCAAGACGAACTGGCTAGATTACAGGAAATGTATGATAGGGCGTCGTTACAGCTCGGCAGAACGAAAGAACAAGAAGAAAAGGCTAAAGAAGATATGGATAGACTGAGCGTTGATATAGAAATGGTGCGAGATCGATATGAAAAAGGTCAAATAGAACTTAGAAGATACCAAGCGGAGAAAGAAAAACTTGTCGCTGATAACGAACGCTTGCAATTCGAATACGACAGAGCGATGGCACAGTGTAGTAAAGCACAGGCGTCGAACGAAAAGACGCAAGAGGAAATGGCCAGAGTTCAGATAGAACTCGAAAAAATGTACGATAAGCATGATAAAGTGTCCGCTGAATTAAGAAAAGCTCAAGCTGAGCTGGATAAAGTTAAAGCTGATGTTAACGGCGCTAGAGAGGAGGCGGAGAGATACGCGGCGCGCTACGGGAAGTATCACGACACTAAGGAAGAACATGAGCGGACTAAGATTGAAGTGGAACGACTACGAACGAGGCTCGAGAAGACTACCCTCGACTTGGAGCGAGCGAGGAAGGCGGAGGAGGAAGTGAACAGACTGCGCTCCGAACTAGAACGACTGGACGGCCTGCGAGGTAAATACACATTCGAACAGGACAAGTGGAACACCGAACTTAACAGACTACAGGCGGAAATAGACAAGTATAGAGAGAAACACGACGCGGCGCAGGTTGATATTCAGAGACTACAAGCGGAGAAAGAACAAGCGGAGACTAAGTTACACGAAATGAACATACAACTAGAACTATCTAAGAGCGAGGTTACTAAATTGACAGCGGCCATGGACAAACAACGAACGGACCTGGAAAGAGCTCATATAGAATGCGAAAAATTCAGAGATAGATGTGAAAAACTGAAACTACGATCAGAACAGTTGGATAAAGATAACGAACGGCTTAAAGGAGAATTACAACAGATCGAAAGGATGAAATTGCAAGCGGTCGCTGGCGATAAGGCGAGGACAGAAGATAGACTGGAAATTGAGAGACTCAGAGATAAACTGGAGAAAGCCATACAAGCAAGAGATGCGACGGAAATGGAGGCTGGACGATTGGCCAAAGAACTAGAGAAATCACAGATGCATCTCGCTAAATACCAAGAGACTAACGAAACATCTAGAGTGGAATACGACAGAATGACCAACGAGCTAGGCAGGATGCACGAACGATTAGAACGAACTATACTAGAGATGAGACAGATAGAACAGGAAAGAGATGCTCTTAGAACAGAAATACAGAACACGAGACGGAATATAGAACAACAACAACGTACACTGGACCATAGAACACAGGAGACGTTAGTTAAATTACAACAAGAACTGGCTCAATCGGTGCGAGACAGGGAAAAGATGGCGTCCATCTTGGAACAGAGAGACAAACAGGCAGACGCTATAGAGAAACAGATAGTGAAACTGGAAGCTGATACTAAACAATTAACTATCGAACGAGATCAACTAGTAGCTCAACTGGAAAAATCTCAAGACATGCTCGTTAACTTCCAGAGAGAATTGAACTCTTCAGAGACAGAACTACAGAAACAAAGAGAGGAGGTGCGGAGATTAAAGGAAGAACAGAGGAAGATGGCGCAGGACTCAGAACGAGGGACCAAGTCCGTTATAGAGAGTCGAGACAGAGAGATAGCGAAGTTACAGCAACAAGTACAGAACGTGTCCAAAGAGAAGGAGAGCTATAGACAGAGAGCAGAAAGGGCGGAGAAGGAAGCGCAGAAAGCGGCAGAAATAGACAAATGGAAGTCGGCCGTTGAAACCGAGAAGACGAAAGCCATAGCGGCAGAGAGAGCGCTGTCGGAATGCCAGCAGCGCTTACAGAGTTTAGAGAAGCAGTTCCAGATGCAGCAGCAGCAGCTGCAACAGCTTCAAGCGCGCGGACCGTCCGACGTCAGGGAGGTCCAGAAGCAGCTCGAAGCAGCTCAAGCCGAGGCGCGCTCGCTGGCAGTCGAGCGGGAGAGATGCCAGGCGCAGCTCGAGATGCTCGTACAGGAACTGGAAAAGAGCCAGGTCGGTCGGATCGAGTTCTGCCATTGTTTAAACTCACCGCGAACTCGATCGAATAACATCGTGCTTACCATTGATTGCACATACATACATGTTATGATTTGGATGTTACGTAATTTTAGTTTTTGTTATGGATTCATCGGTCATTGTTAGTCGCATGCTCCGCGGCGCCCTCCAGCCCTTCATTCATCGTATTTAATTTATTATTTTGATCGCGAGGTTCGACGGATCTTTTCATGTGAGTGCACACATCTCATCCGCACTCGTATACTTTGGATAAGAAACATTAAGCTTACGATGTATTCTCTCTCTCTCTTTCAGCCGTATCAGCTATTCGATTCTGTGTTCATGATCTTGTTTTATAAACAAAATATTACATACATACATAGTACATATGTGTTTATATTATTTTTTTACCATAAATTCGTTGCTGCAATTATTAGAAAAAAAAATATATGTAAAAAATTGGCTTTTGTGATATATGGCTTATGAATATGTTACATTACAATTTCAAATTGAAGCTTGAGTGATTATTGATACAGCTATTTTGTATTTCTTTCTGTATGTTCGTACAATATTATAACGCCATATAATTTAATATGTTTTATTTGGTAACAGCTCGATTTGCGAGAGGCGAACAAGAAGCTGCAGACAGCTGGAAACCAGAGCGCCAAAGCTGGGGAAGATATGGCGCAAGCTAAGAAACAGCTTCAAGAAGAATACAAGAAGCTTGAAGACGCGAGGAAGCAGTTCGAGGAGAACAGAAGAATGGTCGAGAACAAACGTAAAGACGTGGAGGAGAAGGAGAGGGCGCTGATGGACATGGACCGGCAGTTGAAGAAACGGAAGGAGCAGATGGACCAGATGGAAGCATCGCTTCGGAAGGTGAGAAGAACAAAGAACACGTGGCAATATATTCTTTGATTCCGAAACTTCTTTGGGAATATATTAATCAGTGATGTCTAAATACTCTTAGAAAGTACATATGACTCGGAAAAATCACATTAGTACTTGCCAGGATCGAACCCGCGCCCTCGTGCATGAGAGTCGGGGCTATTAACCATTATACCACAACTGATTGACTAAGAGCTTATATACATTATTTAAAAACTAATAGATTAACAAAAAAGTTTATCAAGTTTAAATGACGTATATGTATGTCATAATTGTTATGCAAAGTTTCAAAAGCATCTGTTTTCGCATGTACAAGATACATTGAAATCCAACTTAAAACTGAAAAATTGTCATTTTGCCCATCGGCCCTTATATGTACATAGGAGCCATCGATATATAGATTGTAGATAATTCAAACGCCTAAAACTCAATATTCTTAGTCGATGTATTTATATTTATTTATCTCTTTATTCACACCAAATATACATAAAAAATAAAAAATATATTCTTTAACATAAAATACATTGGTAGATCAAAAGGCGGTCTTTATGGCTTGTAAGGCATTTCTTCATTATCGATTTTTTATTCTATTATTAAGGTTATATAGGTTTAATGATTCTTAATTATATTTTTATCCAGGCCGGCGGTAGTACAGCAGCTGTAACAGATCTGAACCGTAAGCTGGGCGACACGCAGAAGGAGGCAGAACAGTTACAGAACAAACTGAGGAGTAGCGAGGAGGAGTGTAAGAGACTGGCCGCGGAGACTGAGAGACTGTTACAGCTGGTGCAGATGAGCCAGGAGGAGCAGGCGGCGAAGGAGAAGCAGGTCATGGAGCTGCAGCAGTAAGTCACTATGGGGGAATTTCGGGAATTTTATAGAACTGAAAGGAGTCTGCCCATTACACCGTATCATACAATGACCGTGCTATGAACGTATTAAGCACATAAAGTAATATGATACGGCTTGCTTTACCCACTGAAACGAGTCGACGGCGTTTAATGCCCGTATGCACCCGTAATTTGTATGATAGTAATGTATAATTTCCGTTTTGCTGCCGGCACGCATCGGCTTGGCAACGTCAGGTGCCATGCGCGGATCGTATCGGCCCCGGCAAAATATTCTCGCCGACAATAATCAACGGAACGGTCTAGTGGGCATAGTATCATGTTTTTCTATACAAAGAATATTTTTTTGCCTGACACGTTCCTATTACGGTCATGTTATGATACGGTGTAGTGGGCAGACTCCTTAATGGTCGATGAATTCTTAAATACATAGTTATTAAGTATATGAATGAGCGAGTTTAGAGGAATTTTGAGGAGTTTCAAAATAATTCGGGAGATTTATAGTCCATTATGGTCGATTTGTTCTTAACCAGTTAGCTATTAAATGTACAAATTCAGTATGACTAATAACAAATAATACATAGAAGTCATGAATATTATGAATGTATCAAAGATATTAACTACTCGTAGTTTTAATTTCCTCTTTTTAAATAAATAATCTTATAGCTTATTTGAAAAAATTTTTGGTAAACATAAATTATATGACGCACAATATAAGCTGAAAAGTTTTCTTCGATTAACGTAAAAATATTTGCAGGTCCATAAGAAACCTTCAAGCCAAAATAAAAACTCAGCAACAAGCACAAGCACAAAGAGAAGAGGTGAGACTACGATGTACTATAATAATGATAATACTAGAAATAATAACATACTAAAACAATTAATTTGGAATGTTAATAATTACTATGGACACGATATCTCAAATGTTAGAGTGGCGGAAGAGATACTGTTCTATTCTCTTATATATATACTACATGCGCCCCGCGGTGTTACCCGCGGATTTCCGGGATGTAAAGTAGCCTATATATTATTCCTGGACGTCAGCTTCCTGTATACAAAATTTTATCAAAATCGGTTCAACCGTTTGAGTTTGAAGAAGTAACAAACATACACACGCTCACAAACTTTTACAATTATAATATTAGTAGGATATATTGACGGTTTCATATAAAATGGGTTCATAATGTATTGGTTATATATTAAACTTTCGCAATTATAATATTAGTAGTTTTTTATAGTATTGATGTACTTCAAGAACGTTAAATTTATATTATATAACAGTTTTATATGTATAAAATGGGTTCATAGTGAATTAGTTATGGGTACATAGTGTATCAGTTATATATATATTAACCATACTAATAACTAACATATTAACCGCGGGTTTTCTCCCCAGGCCGGGCCCGCCGGTTTCCTCAAAAGCTTCTTCTAAGTTCAGTCAAGACTGCCGTTCCTTTACTCTCCGTTGTTCAACCGTCGTTCATACATACAGCGACTCACTTATACCTACACGTCTTTACTTTGTCATAAGCTTTACGCTAATAAATTAATGTTATTTAATGATTTGTATTGAATATGAAGTGTTCAGATAATAATAATGTTCTCATTGTAAACAGCACACAAATAAGGTAAACGGTATTAGTTTAGATTATATGTTAAGTGATGTTTAATATGTATCGTACGTGTTCATGATTAATATGTGAAAATGTTGAGTAATCATGTATGATATGTAATGACGCTTGGTGACTTGTTACGCGGACTATCAATTGATTAATAAAAACGTAATGTCTCTTACTACGGTTATTTATGAGTTTATATTGTTGCTATTTTATGTTATTAAATTATAGATTATCTTTCTTTCTTTTTTTATTATTATTTTTTTTATCTTTTATTTCTTTTTTATCTTCTACCCTCCCAAATAGGAAATCACGCGCGCGCGACAGAGCGAGATAGCGATAATCACAGATCTGACCAACACTTTGAAAGAGAGAGACAAACTTAGAACTAAATTGGAAGAAAGTAAAATGAAAATTATAGATCTGGAAATAGAATTAAACGAATCATCTCTCATACTGTCGGAGATACTAAAGATATCTGATAGCTGTGAATTAAACGACATTAAGAGGAGCAGAAGCTTCTTTGAACTACGGAAAAGCAATAAGGTAGTGGATAGGTTGGATAGAGGTATTAGCAAGAGTTACAACGATCTGATAAACATTAAATATGACGGACGAAACAACACGCAGAAACTGTCGCGGAAAATAACAGACATGACGAAAGAAATAGAAATAAAAAACACCAAGATAATTGAACAACAGAAATGTATAAGCATACTAGAAGACGCGCTGAGAGACAACAATAATATAGCGGAACTGGAACAACTGTTACTTGTAGTGAGGAGCAAGGATGAGAGGATACACGAGCTGGAACGGTTCCTGAAAACACCGGGTGTGGGGGAACCGGGAACCGGGATACGGGAACCGGGAACCAGGATAAAGGAACTAGAAGACGCTCTGAAGGAATCAGTGGTTATAGCGACGGAGAGAGAGAGAGTGTTCTATGAGGAGGAACAGAAGAGAATTGAAACAATACGGAAGGTGGGCATTATATATTACTACGAGTAGCTTTCCACAAGTAGAGTTCGGTTATATCGCGTTACCAAGAGAACCTTTCAAAAGTCTGGCATAAAAACTATCCTATGTTCTTTCTTAAGGTCAACTCTATATCTGTACCAAATTTCATTTAAATCAGTTCAGTGGTTTAGGCGTGAAAGCGTAACAGACAGACAGAGTTACTTACGCATTTATAATATTAGTAGGGACTAGTAGGGATAATAAAGAAACTTTTATTCACCAATAAGGTATGTTCAAATAGTTTGAATATGAATCGTTATTGGTTATGGCTGAATGGACGTAAAATAAAAAACTTATTATGTACTTAAAAAATAATATTAAATTACAAGTATTATGTATGAGGATTGATGAATGGATGGATACATCATATATGTTGAAAATCCTCTTTAATATCTGCATTCTAAATTATACTTTAATATAAAATACTTAGAACTCAAAAATGAAATTAATTCTTTCAGATGAAGAAGCTGGAACAACGAATCCTTTCACTCCAGAATGCATCTATCATGAACTGTTCAACTTGTACAGCCGTGATCAACAAACTGAAAACTGTTGAAGATACATTGAGGATATGTGACAACAACAGGAGACATGTACTGACTGACCTGGCGAGAGTCATGTGAGTTGGAAACAGAAATGGAATTGGAATTAATGATAATGGAATGTCATAATCATAATGGAATGTCATAATCATAATGGATTTTTTTTTCACTTAAAGTTTAGATAATATTATATCTTACAAATTATTATAACATTATATTTACAGACAGGACCTTCTAGAAAGTGCTATAACAGAAAAGGATACGGAAATAGCTCAGTTAGAGATGAAAGGAGTTCTGAACGAAGAAGATACTATAACTTGCGATCGACTTAAAAATGACAAAGAGAGACTGCTACAAAGGTTAAGAGTAGAGGTGAGAAAATACCGTTAGATTAATATAATATTGTCATCATTTTATTTTTGAATAAAACTTATGCAACTTCCAACAAGGTTGCGTTAAACGTTTAACGCTCGTGGGGAGAGGGAATAGAATGAGACGGAAAGAGTAAGGGTGGGTCAATATGGAATTATAAGTAATATTCATAAAGTTTCTCTTAAAAATACAATATGAGTTAACTTAAAGTTAATATCTACTTATTACTATTTTCATTGATACGTTACGAAGTTTCAGTCCTTCACAAATTTCTAAATTAATAGTTTTATATTGGATTATATTCGCTTAATACCTTAATGAATTTTTTTTAATCTTTTTTTTCTTGTAACATAATTATATTTAATTTCAGAATGAAAGGATTCTTAATTTTGATAAAGCACCAATTGAGCGGGTTTGTGATGAAAGCTCTGTTCCCGTGTTGACGCTCGCTGATGATTTGATGATGATTGATGATGAAGGAATCACCTGGGTAACGTGATGATGAAAAAATAACAAATATGAGTGAAGCTATATATTAACAAAGAAAAACATAATATATGTTGAAAAACTCTCAAGACTTCAAGAGATTGTGCTTCAAATGTGTGGAGTTAAATAATATACAATTGATTCTCTCTAGCAACCAAGTAATGTCAGAAAATTAATGCCTGAATTATTTTTTATTAATATTTATTTATATATTAATTATTATATAAGCTGACCATTCGGCTTGAAATTAAAAAAATAACAATATGATACAGTAGAAACTCGATTTTTCGGCCGGATTACCAATTGCAAATTAACAAATACATATTGTAATTTATTTTTTAAATAAACATATAATTTTATGTATTACATACATATGCACAAAACCGTATTTTTTTCATACATTCGATTATCTGAATGTCTATTGACAACAATTAGTCCGGTCAATCGAGTTTCTACTATAATTTATTTATTTTTATTAAGTAACACACAGCTTAAAGAGTGTTACTATATATATATTAATATATTTATATATATTATAATATTTGAAGGAGATCTTTTTCCAGGCAGAGGACATCCCGGCGACTGTGTTGTGACGTCACAAAGCTAAGTCTAATAGTAACTATGTTAGCACCTCACCTCACCCGCTACCTTCATCGCTTGACACATGCCTTCCCGCCAAATAACAAAAAAAAAAAACAAACTCCCCCGCTTGCAATTTCCGAACCGTTCAGAAACCGCGCCGAACGACCGAACAGTTTTTGTACATATTCTTTTTTTAAATTTTAAGTTCTGACATTCGATTGATATGGAACCAAATATATATCTAGATATGATTACTGTTATATAATGTATACCTATATAGAGCAATAATTTAATCTTCTAGAAGAGACACTCAGTGTGTATTTTTATCCTGTACTAGTCAAATTTATTGAATGTTCAACGGCTTTATATTATTTATGAGATTGTTGTTTATTGCTGTATTGTTTAATGTACCCTACCACTGGTTTGTACCGGACTGAAAACTATCAGTTTGTGAGTTACACGTGTGAACTGTAAGTATTTAGTTCGAGTACGAACCCTTAGTAGGGCTGGTTGATACTAAGCTTGTAGCAGAGTCGATATGCATATATAAACATATCAATGAATCGGCAGCTACCTTGTGAAGGCTTTTTATATCTTTACAAACATATTCTTGTTGATCGTTTATTATCTGTGGATCCTTATGTCCGTTTGACGTTTCAGTAGCGCGATTGGATCGTTGAGCCGAATTAGTAAATGTCACTTGTTAATGGACCGTGGCCAGTACATAAACAATATTAATGTTCAGTAATATAAGATAATGAATCAATAATTATATTGTGTTGTATAATTTTGTAATAGTTTATCAGTTGTCGGGTCCAAATGGCCATCGTCCTTTAGTTAAGCTGTCACTTTGACTTTGACATTTTGCGTGGAAACCATAGACAATGGGAGTCGGCTTATTACTCGATAAATGTCGCTGTAGTGTTAACGTTAGGTCGGCCATAGACAAGCTGCATGGTTTTGTTTTTTTTTTCTTTTTTGAAAGGTCACGAACAGAATGATGCAGCTTCGTGTTTTGTATTGACTCAAGTGTGTAGCGATGTACGATCACAATAATAACTGTATTTAATATTAGTTACCTGTTATTAATATTGTAATATTTAACTCGGGTCGCTGTTTCACGCGTTGTATTGACCGGAACTATGCTGATGTAAGGATACATGTTCTTTGAAAATATAATATCTTCATATAATACAAACATATTGTTTTATTTAACCTTTTTAGATGTGCTACTACTACATGACACAGTATTATGTTTTTAAAATATTATGGACTGTTTTTAAATATAACCCTTAAAAATTATACATGTGTGTCTATATATTAATTACATAAATGAAATCTAAATAGGCGTTTAGACTTGATCTTACACAACTAGTGATCGTTTTTACTTTTCATGAGTAACTTATCACACATAGTTTTATTCAAATATGTTTGTTTACATGTATATATGTTATTGTTTCTAACTTAAAAACTACGCAGCTGATTATGCTGAAACTGAAGTTATGTAGCTTAGACATCAAAATAACACATTTATGCTAAAATTTCCATGACAAAAACTATACTTCTTACTGCTTTGAATTGAATTCATTTGGATGAACTTGTGTGAAAATGGTAATGATTAATAAATCAAAACTTTGAAACTCTGTCTTAAGCTGGGAGAAGAATTCTGAAACCAAACCACTGCTGTACACGGAAGAGTATTAAGTGTTTGTGCTTCAAAGTTGCGATCGGATCACCACAAAATTACAGAAAAGATTATAATTTTATTTTACGACTATTTTTTTCTAAGAGACTACCAACTGAAAAACTATTGCGAATTCTTCATTGAATATATTATATTATTAAACGTTTTAGAACCAACTATTTTACTAATAAAGGTGTTAAGTAATGGTATACGTTGTTCCATGTTTTCTACATATATGAAATGTAACAAATTATTTGGTGTAAATTAAAAAGAAAAGAAAAAATCTAAACTGATGTTATACCATACGATATTTTTTTAACACAAGCTCAGACAAGCAAAAATTTTATTGATAGAGAAAATGTTTCTTATACAGGGTGACTGGTGAATTACTATCGATACTTGAGGACGTGATTTTTGACGATCATATATGACAAAATAAAAATTAATATAACATCAATATTAATAAACTTCTAAGTAAAGTTAACCAAAAGTTATGTAATTCGCATACGCATCGTGTGAACACCCTACAGATTAGGTATACACACACACACACACACACACACACACGCGCGCGTGCGGCGGCGTGGTGTTGTATCAGCACGCCGCTACACGCGTCCACACTTGGAACACTTGGAACGTGTCCACACTGTATTTATTAATACGGAAATTTGGTCAAAAATTAAGTACCTATTTTTTTTACATAATTCGAATGAGAATCATGTACCGAGTATTCTCCTTAAATATTGATAGTTATTCACCAGTCACCCTGTATAGTGAAGTAAATACATAATTAGAAAACAAACAGTTCGTATTTTTATTTAATAATAAAGTATTTTAATTTCATCTTAATACATGATACATTTATAAAATGAATTCAAAAATATGTACTCACATAAAATACTTTTAAATGACAAATAATCTATAATTAATTAACTAAAGTGTGATTTATTTTTTAGACATATATGTTTATATTCTTAGTTTACATTTTGCTATTTGAATTGATTTTAAAAATATCAAAATAAATGTAAGTTTAGTAAAATTTATTTTTAGCGACATCTATCAACCAATAGCTGAACTGCTACAATCACCACAACGGTTCCTACACAATTTAGTTATTGCTACTCACTACTAGAGAACGGGCCAGTATTTTAAGAGAGATTCAATAATTAGAAATTCTTACGTCACAATGATAGTTTATATTAGAAATTTAACACGAAACAAGAAAACAAATATAAATCATTTGATTAAATTAAGTTACATATGAATTATTTACTGTATATAATTTAGATCATTTGACCAGATCGTTATGTAGAATCGCATTATTGAAGTGCAGTTTTTTTATTTAACATTTATAAATTTTATCACGAACAACATAAATATAGCCGTCGGAAGCGCGACCGGAAACAGCTGCGAGTTCCGCTCCGCTCAGTTTTACTTTTACTTTAAAGGGTTTCAATTTCTACCGCGACGTCCTTGGACGCCGACTTTAATAAAACATTAAAAACAAATATAACCCACCACACCTTCACACAGCAGCCTGGTGGGCTCTCCATAACGTTGTCTTAATATATCTTATATGTGAAACACGAATCATGTCCAAGTAAAAATAACATGAAATAAATTCCTATAATAGCTCTTCAATCTCAGCCCTAGTTATAATCCCGTTAAGGTGTTCGCATTAGAACCTAATACATATATTAAATTTACAGATTTTGATGAAAAAATAAGTTTTCGTGTTATTACAAAATATTGTCTCTTTTCATCGTCACACTCGCAAACTTTCTTTATTATATTCGTATAACTTGTGTTTTAATATATCAAAAAAATATATAAAAATGTAATTTAATACTATTTAATATTTATATTCCAAAAACAATTAAATAATGAATTTTAAATAATCCATTAGCGAGATCACAATAACAATAAAAATGTCGTAAAAAATTAAAACACTTTAAAATCGAGATAAAAATACAAAAATTTTAACATTTACAACAAAATTGTATAATTTATTAATATTATTTTGTTAATGGGAGACATTATTTATAAAATTTATTACATAATTTAATGCTTCGGAATAAATTACAATTAATATTAAAGTTTGAGTTCGATTTAACATTTTTTATATTAATTATGCTATAATAAATATTTTGATACTTTTATTTTATTTTAAGTATAAAAATATTTTTAAAGTTGAAAAAATTTCAAAAATGACATTGGGCAGTGTACAAGAATAAATAAATAATTATGATAAAAAATTATATTAATAGTCGACTTATAACTTAAATGTAAAAATAGACTTCATTAGAATATATGATAATCATCATTCAAACGATTGACATACAAAAAAAAAAAGATTTATAAATTTCAATTCAGTTATAAACATAATTAAGATTACATAAATTAAATACAAAAAACAAAAATCGTCAATTAAATACATTATAATAGTATTAAATTAAACAACATCACCGCGAGTGTCGCGTCACTGAAAAATATTCCGCCATTTTTTTTTTTGTAAATATATTTTCTGTCAAATCATTAAAAATATATACAAAATGTCGGCCTTATGTTATATATATATATATATATATATATATATATATATATATTTAGTATATGTCATAGTAACATATTGTATATTAATCAATGGATACATTATAATATTTAAATATGAAACTTTGTATTAATAAAGCGAAATTAAACTTCATATAAGATGGCGGCCGGGGCGCGCGTGTGTCATTAGTGTGCGTGTGTGAGTTAATGCAGGCTTAGGACGCTTCACACTGAATATGTTTATAATATTAATATTTTAAATAATATAACATATAAAATATTTATTTTGGTTAATTTTATCTATTTATTACTTGTTGTTAATAATGAAAAACGTTTTGCAAATTATTATTTTTTAATTCGTGAATCATAGTTGTGTGAATGACTTCCGGTTTTAATAATAATGTACTTAAATTCAAAATAAGACTTAAATTATTCAATACTTTGTCATTAACCATAATATTCTAATTTATTTTACAGAAGTGATATAAATTTTACAATACAAAAGCTATGAACATTTTTTTTTATGATTTTTCCGAGTCATATGTACTTTCTAAGACTATTTAGACATCACTGATTAATGTTGATTCCCAAAAGAGGGTTGATGTCAGGCAGGCGGCCGGTCGTAAAAACAATTAGCCAAAACTATACACAACATGTAAGGCAGACCCTGGCTATAGCTGGGAAATTGCCAGGTAGAAGAAGAAGAAGAAAAGCTATGAACATTTTCGTATTAATTTTGGTGAAATAATGTAATGTTTGTGACATTAAGAATTATCT